TGGCCTCGAGGAATGGCTTGAGGACCATCAACATCTGGGAGATGGTATGCCACTCAGATCTGTTCAGGGGGGCGCTGAATCCTATCTCACCAAGCAAGGCCATCTCATGGATGGCCTTCTGTTGCTCCACCAGCGTCTCAAGCATCAGGTATGTGGAGTTCCACCGAGTCTCCACATCCTGTGTGATTCTGTGCTGCGGGATGCTGAGCTCTGCCTGTTTCTCCCGCAGCATCTTGCCCCCCTTGATGCTGCGGTGGAAGTAGCTCACCACCTTCCTGCATTTCAAAATCAGCTGGCTTGTAGCAGTATTGGTGGCAGGGCCGTCACTGGCAACCCTGTCCCCCTCCAAGGCATCCCTCACTATTAGTTGCAGACTGTGTGCCACACAACAGATGTCAATAAAGTTGGCATCACAGACAGCCTTCACCATATTGGCCCCGTTGTCGGTGACCATGGACCTGTGGGTGAGCACGGCCTGCCCAGCGAGCCACCTCTGCACCATGCGATTCATGGCCCCCATGATCTCCCTTGCCGTGTGAGACTCATCCAGCACCTCGGCTTGCAGTAGAGCCCATCGACGGCCTGACTGAGCGCACCAGTGCCCTGTGAGGGAGAGGTAGGCTTGATTGCCACCCTGGCTGCTCTAGATGTCGGAGGTGAAGTGCAAAACTAACTGCGGCCCTGCCTTGCGCAGATCCTCCCTCAAGTACTCCCTGCATGCCTGATGCAGGGAGGGCACCACCCTCTTCTAATGCCCTCAAAATTGCCAAAGTGGCTCTGGAGCATCCAAAGCGGGTCCGAAGCACTTCGGATGCCCCCAACCCACTCCAGACACCATTGCTTGTATCCCGCTTCAACCCAGAAGTGCCGATTCGGACTCTGGATTATCCGAAGCAGGTCTGGATCCGAAGTCGGATTCAAAGCTTCGCACAGCCCTACTGGCTATAGCTAGCCCAACCCCACAGCTTGGCTGGTGTAAAGGACCATCAAAAGAAACAAAGGGGAAAAGCCAGGAGTACCCTCTAGGCCTGGGCTGCAGTTAGTTTAGGTCACACAGCTCTACTGGAAGCAGAGAGTTGCAAATCTCACCCCCAGCCATAGGCGGCAGAAAGCAGGGGGGCGGGGGCGGTCTAGTGGGGTTTAGCCCCCCAAACACGGGAAAGTGGTAGGACCGCAAGGCACCCTGGCTGAGGGCTTCCAGTGGCTGCTGCAGGGGT